AGCTCTGCTCCCACTGGAGGTCTCAGGGAGGGCTCCAACAGCTCCCCCCATGATGGATTTGTCACAGTTATCCCAGGTCCATGCCTGAAGGATTCCTGGGGTTGTTATTTATCCAGCAGGATCTGCCCCCACTTCATGGACCATCTCTTTTATCCTCCCTTTCCCACACGTCTCCAGGAGAAACCAACCCAGTCCTTGCCACAGGTCCCGGGCTCACAGTCCATCAACATATGTTTACTTATTTATTTTAGGACGTGATTAATGTTACTACATTTGCTGGAGGAATGTTTTTGTTCTGCCAACGTGCCTTGCCAGCACAAAACGTTCCGTGTTTGGAGCAAAGCACAGCAAATTGGCCTCTGCTTTCAAACACAAGGGAGGGCTGGGGGATGCTATTTTCTGCTCTCCAGCAAGAGGAGTGCAGAGAATTGAGCAAAGATAAAGAGAAACAGAGACTGCTACCAGGCTGCAGACGGGAGAGGAACGAGGTAGATTGGCCAGAGAGAGACTGTTTTTCCACTTGCATGTTCTGGACTCCTAGTGAAGGTTTCTGGGGGGATTTTGTGGAGGTTTTGTGGTATCTTTGTGGTTTTAAATAAAGCAGTAACAGCAGAGGGTTTGCATTGCACTGGCCCAGAGCACAGCAACTTCTGAGGTGGTGGGCAAATGAGGGAGAGGAGGACATGTTCCCCATCTTCATGGGGTGCCAGGAGAGTGGATACTGTGGATATGGGTCCACAGGGAGAGTGGGTGTTTGGAAAGGGCCATGATTGACTTCTCTGCCTTCTCTGAGGAGGCAGCAAAGTGCTGCCCTGCACCACCTCCCATGGCAGCACCACACTGGGCACAGCCATCCCTCTGTGGGGAGCACTGAGCTGTGGAGGCTTCTTCTGCAGCAGAGCTTGCTAAAGATCCTCACTTGGCCAGAGTCCTGCTGTGGCCTTCCCTTGCTCAGTCCCCTCCTTAAAAACACCATAAAACTGTGCTCTGGGGGCTCCCCTGGGGCAAGAGGAGGGAGTTGCTGTGCCCACTGCTCGCTGCTGGTCCTGTAGTGAGTTGGCTTTGGTTGGATGTCAGACACCCACCAAAACTGCTCTGTCACTGCCCTTCCCAGCTGGACAGGGGAGAGAAAATACAGGGAAAGGTTCCTGAGCTGAGATAAGGACAGGGAGAGATCACTCAGCGATTGCCGTCATGGGCAAAACACTCAGCTGGGGGATAGTAATTCCATTTATCGGCAACACAATCAGAGGGGCACAATGAGGAGTAAAATAAGTCCTAAAAACACCTTCCCCACCCCTTCCTCCCTCCCGGGCTCTGCCTCCTCCGCACCAGCGGCGCAGAGAGACGGGAATGGGGGACACGGTCAGTTCATCCCACCTGCTTCGGCCACTGCTCAGGGACAGGAGCCAGAGTCCTTTCCCTGCTCCTGCACAGGCTTCCCACAGTTCACAGCCTCCTTCAGGCATCCACCTGCTGCAGCGTGGGCTCCTCCACAGCCTGCAGGTGGATCTCTGCACCCCCATGCTCCTCCCTGGGCTGCAGGGGCACAGCTGCCTCAGCAGGGTCTTCACTCTGGGCTACAGGGGAATCTCAGCTCCAGAGCCCAGAGCACCTCCTGCCCCTGCTTCTCCTCTGACCTTGGGGTCTGCAGAGCTGTTCCCCTCACAGATTCTCACTTTACTCTGGCTGCAACCCCATCTGTGCAATAACATTTCTTTTTTCCTTCTTAAGTGTGTTATCCCTCAGTTCCAGATTGGCTCAGCCTTGGCCAGAGGCGTGTCCGTCCTGCAGCCGGCTGGCCTCGGGTCAGTCGGACACGGGGGAAGCTTCCTGCAGCTTCTCCCAGCAGCCCCCCCTGTAGCTCCCTCTCTGCCACCCAAACCTGGCCACACAAGCCCAGCCCGGGTCCCCGGTGCCCCCTGACACCCCTCCTCCTCCCTGTCTTGCAGCTGACGTACCTGCCTCCGCCGTGGGGTGAATGTCGCTCGTCGGAAATGGGCTTAGACTTCTTTCCCGTTTACAGCATCACGGCCTGCAGGATCGACTGCGAGACCCGCTACATCGTGGAGAACTGCAACTGCAAAATGGTCCACATGCCAGGTCAGTGCTGGGGGCTGGGACACCCCCCAGAGATTGGGTAGAACACGGTGCAAATAATGCCCAGGTTGTGGGTTTGGTGCCTGTAGGGACCATTCACTCGATGATCCTCGTAGGTCCCTTCCAGCTCAGAATATGCTGTGCCAGGGGAGGGTTACGTTGGATATCAGGAAGAATTTCTTTGCAGAGAGGGTGCTCAGCCATTGGAATGGGCTGCCCAAGGAAGTGGTGGATTCTCTGTCCCTGGAGGTGTTTAAGGACAGACTGGATGTGGCATCAGTGCCATGGGCTGGGAACCACAGTGGGGTTGGATCAAGGGTTGGACTGGATGATCTCAGAGGTCCCTTCCAACCCAGCTGATTCTATGATTCTATGATTCCGTGATTCAGCAGGAGCTCGGGTTAAAGGAGGTGGGAATACCTTTCCCTAAGGAAAGATGGATGCCAGTAGCCTTGTTGGAATGTCCTGAAAGGGGGACAAGGCGTGGCAGAGGGACTTGGGTTTGATTTCCTCTTATAGAATCATTAAGGTTGGAAGAGACCTCCAAGATCATCAAGTCCAACTCTTATTTACAGAGTTGTGGAATATTCTGAGTCAGAAGGGACTCACAAGGATCATCGAGTCCAACTCTTGAGTGAATGGCCCATGGAGGGGATTGAACCCATGACCTTGGTGTTATTAGCACCAAGTTTTTATTAATTATTTTATTAATTATTGAGCCCCAGTTGACACCCCCGGGTGGTGTTTCCAGCAGCCCCCTCCTCGTTTCGCAGTGGCAGGCAGAGGTGGGGACCAGCCAGGGTCACTTTGCTAAAGGGAGAGGTCCTTGTGTTCCCCAGGGAGAGCCTGGTGGTCCCCATGTGATGGACATGTCCTTTCCCTGCAGGGGATGCTCCCTTCTGTACCCCGGAGCAGTACAAGGAGTGCGCGGAGCCCGCGCTCGGTGAGTACCACGAGGGGTCCCTGGTGCCACGGGTGCCCCAGCTGGAGGCACTTCCAGCATCCTGGATCCTCCTGGATCCTCCTGGCTGGCAGCACCGGGGGGATCTGGAGCAGCTGCAACCCAGAGAAGGGGTTTTGATGAGACCCAAATTTTTGGGAAGGTCTGGGTGCACCCTGGGATAAACTTACTCCTGTTCCTACCTGGAGTGTGGGGTTCCATCAGCACAAAACCCTTGGGATCATGGGCACCCCAGGAGCACCTCTAGGTTTGGGGTTGAGATCAAGGGACCCATTTAAAGTCTGGATTTAGTTCCCCAAGCAGATGCTGGTGTAGCCTCCAGCAAAAGGTCTCTCTCCAGGATGGTGAGAAGTGGGATGAACTGGGAGAGAAATGCCCAGGAGTGACCTCTGGAGCAGAGCATAACAACCTCTGCTCCCACATCTGCTCCCTGACTCCATGAGATGTGACCCTGTGATCTTCTGCAGGTTTGCTTGCTGAGAAGGACAGCAACTACTGCATCTGCAGGACACCCTGCAACCTGACCAGGTACAACAAAGAGCTCTCCATGGTCAAGATCCCCAGCAAGACCTCGGCCAAGTACCTGGAGAAGAAGTTCAATAAGTCAGAAAAATACATCTCGTGAGTGTTGCCCAAAACTGATCTCCTTTGCTTTATGAGGGAAGTGTCTGTAAAGGCCCATTAGCTCAAACCAGCCCTCGCTGATCCATCCCTAACACAGGGAGGAGAAGGGACAAACCCTGAAAGAAATGAGGTGTAGGTTGCTTTCTTCTTATTAGACGTGTCTCCAGATGATCTGTGTTCCTTCCCTAGGCTTGTCCTCGTGAGCAAAGCCCATTCCCACCAAAAAAAGTGCAAAAACTCCTCTTCCTTTGACAGGGAAGCCCAGACTTGCTGGCCCTGTTGGAGGTATGGCTGCTCTCTGCCTAACTCTGGGCTGAGAACTTGGGCTTCTTCCAGTCCTGGGCACTTTATTGCCTTGTGTAGGCAGTGAGAGTTATTCCATGTTATTCCATATCCTTTGGATTCTTGCTGTTATCATGGAATCAAAGAATCCCAGATTGGTTTGGGTTGGAAGGGACTTTAAAGCCCATCCAGTGCCAGCCCCTGCCATGGCCAGGGACACCTTCCACTAGCCCAGGTTGCTCCAAGCCGTGTCCAACCTGGCCTTGGACATTCCAGGGATCCAGGGGCAGCCACAGCTTCTCTGGGCAACCTGTACCAGGGCCTCCCCACCCTCACAGGGAGGAATTGTCATTAGAGTAAAGAGTTATCAGCAAAGTGAGATCCAGAGCTCAGATCCTGGGATATCTCAGGGAAAAATTTTCCAGCTCTCCTAAAGCTTCCAGAGCCCTGATGGTGCCCTGTGGTCTTGGTCTGCATGAGGTCCAGGTGCTGTGGGTTGCTGAGGATCCCAGAGAGAGAAACAATCAGGACAGGGAGAGGAATAAAGCCCCAAAGTCCTGGGTTTTTTTCCCTTATCCCAGAGCACTGGTGGCTGCTGGGCTGATGCTGTTTTCTTCTTTCCACAGAGAGAATATTCTTGTGCTGGACATATTTTTTGAAGCACTCAACTACGAGACAATTGAGCAGAAGAAAGCCTATGAAGTGGCAGCCTTACTTGGTAAGGGGGAGGTCAGGGGGGCAGTTTGGAGCCTGTGGGAGTCCATGTGTGTGTGGGACACACGGATGCTCTGAGTGGGTGCACAGCTCATGGAAAATCCCAGCATGGTCCTGACACCTTCCTGGCCAGCACACTTTCAACCCCATCTCTTGCTTCCCTTACACCACCAAGCCATCCCAGGAATGTCCCAGGGACCACATCCAGTCTGTGTCCATGAAGAGCTGCTCCATCTTCATCCCTGCTTGCTCCCAGCTCCCCATTATTTGGGAATCCCGGGCCGAGCAGGCACTGGGTGCTCTCTGTGGTGCCCCCCATATGCTGGAAGGGCAGTGTGTGGAGAAGGGCAGCTCAAAACCATCTACCCATCACCTCTTCCCTGCTCCAAATCCATCCTCCTTCCCAGCCAGGCCAGCCAGACCCCTCTTTGCCTTTGCCTGATGGAGGAGGTGGAGGAGACGTTGGGTTGCTCAGCCTCAAACTGAGGTTTTGTGGGTGCCAGCTACAGGTTTGGGTGCTTGGGACCCGCTGGGTTTGGGGGTGTTCAGTCAGGAGAAGCAAGTCTGGTCTGTGCCCACACTCAACCTTGCAGCCTCCCTGTGTGCCATCCCAAATCCCTGGATCCCTGGAGTGCAGGGGGTGATCAGCACCTTAGAAAGGTCATCCTGGGTTCTGGACACCCCGGGATGGGGACACTGAGGGAAGCAGTGCCCCATGGGGTGCCCCCCCTGCACACAATGGATGTGGTGTGAGCCCTCCTGCCCCTGCTGTGGGTTCCAGTGAGGATGAGGAGGCTGGTGATGAAGCCTCTTTGACACAAACCTCTTAACTTGTAGGACCTCACATGACCCTCCTTGCCAGGACACCGGGGCTTTGGGCAGAGCCTCCTCTTCCCACAGCCCTCAGCCCCTGTGGAACCAGCACTTTGCCCCCAAACTCTTCTCTCCCTCTTTCCTCTCTGTCTCATGGACCCCCCCCAGCAAAGGTCCCTTCACCCCTCCACCCACAGGTGCCTTTGCTCTGGGCTGCAGCTGATCCATGGGTGTTTTGGAGCAAAATCCACGTGATTTGTCCTCCCTGAAGCCACGGTTTGGCAGAGCAGCACAGCTCATGTCAGCACTTGTCTTCCCAGCACATTCCTGGAAGCCTCCTTTCCCTGTGGTTCCTCCTCCCCAGCCCTTCCTCAGCCCTGAGGGACTCCAGCAAAAGCCTTGAGATGCTTCCCTAAAAAAACCCAGGCCGCCTCCCTTTCCTGCCTTTGGCAGGTTTGGTTTTTTTTGGGGGGCTCTGGGGACATTACCTAATTCTGCTCCAGCATCTTCCTCCTTCCCCCGCCCAGTTTGGGAATTGGGTGTTGGGATTGCTGGGATGAAGCCTGCTGTCTGACTGGCAGATGGCTTCCTTGGATGCCAGGGTGTGGCACCGCATCCTCGTTAGGCTCCCAGCTGATGGCCTCCTTAGCAGGAAAAGTGCTTTGGTGGCCAACGAGGTCCTTCCTGGGATGCTGTTCATGGCCTTGGAGCTGCTGGGCTTTCTGGGGGTGCATTTCCCCACTCTTTTAGGGGTGGCAGCACCACAGCTTCGGGATTAAAGGAGGTGGGAATACCTTTCCCTAAGGCAAGAAGGATGCTGATAGCCTTTCTGAATCGGGGCAAGATCTGGAAGAGAGACACGGGCGTGATTTCCCCTTGTGGAATCATTGAAAGACCTCCAAGATCATCCAGTCCAACCTTGTTTAGCCCCAGCTGACACCCCTGGGTGGTGTTTCCCTGGGTGATGTTTCCCTGGGTGGTGTTTCCAGGAGCCCCCTCCCCGTTTGGCAAGGAAAGGCCCCCATGGCAGGGGAAGGTGGGGACCAGCTGGGGTTCCCTTGGCTAAAGGGAGGTTCCTTGTGGCCCGTGGTCACAGGCTCTGGGAGTGTTGTTGTCTCTCCTAGGTGACATTGGAGGCCAGATGGGGCTGTTTATCGGTGCTAGCATCCTCACCATCCTAGAGCTCTTCGATTATATATACGAGGTAAGGCCCTTGTCCTGTCACCTGAGTCCTTGGAAGGGTATGGGTTTGCCAGCCTTGGTGCCAGGCTGGAGCCTCCATGCCCCGTTTGCCCACGTGGATTATCAGTTTTAATTAATAATACCATGTAATTAAGGCTCTACAGTAGTGGGTTGTGACTGTGAAGTGTGGTGAGGAGGTTCCTGGGTTGGGTTGGGCCCATCCAGTGCCACCCCCTGCCATGGGCAGGGACACCTT